CTTAATACTTGGCGAAACAAATTTTCTATGCTTGAAGAATTATAAAGGCTCTCATGCAATCAACCGCACTGATTATGGAAGCAGCTTTAATTGTTCCATTGTCTGCCTTTACAATCAACTTGGGACAGCTTTCGGATTAAACCTTTAAAATTAGTTTTAATTAAAATTTATTTTCTCTTTATTAGTGCGCTATCGATGATTACTGTTTGAAGCAGTTGATCAGACACTGCTTGGGGCTCATATAAAATTAATCTCGAAAACTACTTAAATTGGAAATTGTCTTTGGACCTTTTTATGGAAATAATCTCAAAATTATTATTTTCTATATATCTTAATTGTCGGACCAAATTAAAATTATAACTTGCCTAGGCGCATTGCATTTGAAGATAGCTTAGCTGTAGTTTTCGTATTACATAAATTTTCATTTCTATACAATTATACTCATCGCTTCAATTAACTATTTCAGTTAGTGCATACGCCTTCAACTAAAACTCCGAATTTAGATTTAAGCTGAAAGTAGCTTTTCTTCCTTTGATTCATACCTGCTTTAATGCCAGGGACATGTGATTTTACGTTATGGTCCATACGTCTAACCTCGTGTCCTATCAGATGTGCTTACAGTACTGATGAGAAGCTTTCGCTGGTCAGCGTGCATGGGATCACTTCTGAAGTATAACATGTAGTTCGACCTAGTCTTTAAATCGAATCCTCCATTCATTTAAGCCTAACCATATTCGAAATCGTATGAAAAGTGACGTTTTCAAAGTCCTATCCCTGGTACACGCGAACAACCAACACATTTTTTTCGTTTATAAGTAGGGTTTCTAGACTACCACTATCTCATATGACCAACACTTTGTTCGCTTCCTATTCTATATTTTGATTTTGATTAGTGCCAGCATCTAATCCCAAAGAACTCTTATATTCGTGATTTGCTTTAGATATTAATATTCTAGCTTGTGTTTATTTCCAGAATCGTTATATTTAAAAATTGATTTATGCTGAAATTGGTGAGTTTTTATCAATATGGAACATAAATTTATAATGTAAAGAGAAGCTGGGTTTCGAGGAATCTATTAGTAGATTGATGCTGGCATAGGCGGGTGGTAGACATTTCTAAATTCGCTTCAATGGATACTCAAGAAGGATTGCCTTGGAGCTGTGACTGTTGGATTGTGCAAAGACTACCTCGACTCGCCGTCCTGCGACCCGAAGCCTTCTGTACTGAGCCTTCATACTTCATGCAACCAACATCTTTACAGCCAGAAACCATCATTTACGAACAATACAAAAAGAACACTAGACTAGGAAAGGTGACCGGCTGAAATTCGTCTTCTGATACCCAACTTTGCAATCTTAATGAAGCATTACATGCTCTGTTTGGCTACTTTGCGTTTGCTTTACATGCATGTGGACGAGTGAAATTGATGAAGAGGCAAGTGGATGCGGCCACAGCTTTTCTCTACATACATGTAGGGCAAGCACAAGGTAGCCAAACAAATCGTGAAATGCGTCATTTAGATGGAAAACTTGGGCAAAATAATTAATTTGAATTTCAGATGGCCACGTTTCCTGCTTTAGTATTATTGGTGAGTGTTATTAAATAATGATTTATGGATCTGAAGATGTCCGTTGCATGCCAGACGAAAGATCAGCACGAATGGATCGGGCTTGCAGGACGATGAGTCGGTGCCTTCTCCACGCAATCCAACAGTCACAGCTCTGAGGCAACCCTCCTTCGGTATCCGGTGGGGCAAATTTACCAATTCCTTTAATCTGCCTTTTCCAACGAAGTGAAAAGTATGTCAGCATCAATGCATTTTTGACATTTTTGACATTTTTGACATTTTGGTAAATCTGCATATGTGTGCATGCATTACTCCGGTCTTTTTTGTAGTATATGTGCATTGGGATCAGGTCTTATTTTTAAAATCAAGCTTTGTTTATTTTTTAATGTAGCAACTCTAAACTGTACACAGTACTAGTTTCCTGATGAATTTCTAAAAAAATTTGAATCCTTTCCTCAATGTGATTGTAGCATTTGGCTTGTTTGTAAGCCAACATTAATTTATCTCTCGAATTAAGTATTGTTTTCGTGACTACCAGTAAATCAGTAATATGAGATGTGTTCACCCAATTTCGTTTAAGGTGATGAAAGACTGGTAGTTCTATTTTTGGGAAAGCAAGGCTATGTGAAATTCAATAGAAACGGTCAGCTCAACTCATATGATTGTGGTAAAATTCTTCTTCTACCAATCTTTCATCACCTTAAACGGAATCGGGTGAATACATCTCATTAATTTTTCCTTTTTAAGTCCACCCTGTATGTGGGGGAGAAATGCTAATTTATGGACAAGTATTGGCATCAATTATCAGCTTGTCGAATATTGTCGCTTTTCATTTATCTTCACTTCGAACCTATCGCATGTGTATTTCATGCATGCGAAGAGCTTTGCAGTTACAGATGAAGATTCTACAAATGCTTACTAGTTCCATATTGTATTGGTTCTATTTATCCGAAGGGCTTATTTCTCAAAGTACTGAAGTTTTACGCTATTTATTCTCTACGTCGCGCCCAAGTAATCATGTGGACAGATTTAATTTTTGCTATACATTACTCACTTGATTCTTAGTCCCATTTCCTTCCTCATTGTTTTTCTACCCTCTTCAGTTGCCTCGTGGTTCATTTCCCCCCTGTCTAGCGGCATTGTCTCCATATCGATGTTTTTCTTTTTGAAATACTTCGTTCTAACAAGGGTAAGTTTGGTGATCTGTCCGCTTGTTCCCTTAATTTTGATATCCTGATTGTTGTCATTTAAAAACATTTCATTGTTCCTCCTTTTACAAATAAATTTCATTACTTTTCTCTGTACAAAATACTGTAAAAATCATTTATTTCTAATCAATGCGTCTGCTATTGGTAATTGACTAGCCGAAAATATTTCCTCATTTCATTTGAACTAGTAGTAAAGCAGCTCATGTATGATATTTCTCGATACCTTAACAATTGGTTATCTTCAAAGTACACGAAAAACTTGAGGATTCCGTTTTCAAAGGGATAAATATTTAGGAGCAAATCATACCAAAATGTACTTTCTACCATAATGTCCTTTTTAAGCACAAATGCGAATTAATTTTTTTTAAACATTAGGCAAATCTATCAGCTTAACTTTCCCGTCTTAATATAGACTAAATATAAGTAGTCATATTGAACATAAATCTCAAAATAACTATGACGACTAAGATGTGGCCTCTATTTTGGTCGCAGTCTCCTTTCGATGTATAGCAGTGGTCGAATCTCATTTTCGCAACTTGATAATATTGTTAAGGGGATCCTGTTCGAGCTCTTCTGCTACAGGAGTTGTGACAGTTCCCACCGTTGGACCGTGGACTTGGTACATTCACTGACGTTTCGTCGGCATCGTCGTGAGTTTTGCCATTCTCGGCACCGCTTCCAGCTACAATTCGTCAGTCATTCATCTGACCACGGTTGTGCCTACTGGTTTTGCTGGCACATTGCCTACTATCCACTCTCTTATCTCACTCCTTCCTTGTCGCAGCTTGTTTATATTCCTCCACTTCAGAGGTGTGTCCTTTTTGGTGAGTTTAGTGTGGCGTCAACATAAGGAAACAGACGATTAGAGAGACCGTTGACATTCTTGCGGAAAGATACTTAATTAACCGGAGATTAAAGGAGGCAAAGTTGACGATAACCTTGCCTATTGCATAAGCAAAAAGGAGACGCCGAGTTCAAGGACCTATCATTAATTAGAGAGAAATGGATCGCAAGGAATAAGTGGGCCTTCGGTGAATGCAATCTGCTCGAAGCAACAGCTACAACTTTGGGCGCCTGGCAGTCAAAGGATTCAGGAAACGGATAATGACAACCGTCACAGAAGTTCGCCATTATGGCCAAATTGACTGGAGTTCCACTTAAGATGCAGCTGGTGATCAGAAATAGACGCTCACAGTTTGCTGTGCTCAGGGTACACGGGTTGAATCAGGGAGAGGAGTGGTCATGGCGACAATGCCTGACATCTGCAAGCCTGGGGATCAGAGGGTAGGCGATTTGTTCTGTGTCTCAAGTAAAACGTGTACTGGGACTGGAACTGAGTGAAATCAGCCAGCTAACAAAATTAGAGACTGATCTACCGGCCCACGAGGGGGATTCGTCAGAAGGTCTGAGTGGGATCAGCAAATTATGAGCGAGGTAAACAGACAGGTGTGATGACACCCCTCTAAATTCGCCAAAAAGATGCACTTCTTGAGGAGTTGAATATGAATAAGTCAGAAGTTATGGCAATGAGACACGAGGCCAGGACAGAAAGAGGAGTGATGACAGCAGTTCATCAGGGGATTAACTTCACTTGTTTCTTTGACTAGTTCTAGCTTGGTGCTGAGACTGGCAAAAATCACCCACGATGCTGAAGAAATGCCTGGGCATGTACTAAGTTCACGCTCTGACGCTGTGACCTATCATACCTGCCATAGAAGTGGACTTTGGACCAAGTGCGTCCGACTAGGTTGCCCTGACAACCGACCAAGTTGCGAAAATGAGGTCAGACCATTCTTTACTTGTTCATTCCTTCATAGACCTATAACTGTTAGAGTTACTGCCTCTAAACAAGTCACGTTCTCATATTCTAGCATTTTGTTAGTCACAGTTTTGTTACGATATGGGGAAAAGGAAATGAAGGGTACAATTAGATTGAGAAAATTGTATCCTTGCTTCCA